ATTGATTGATTCATTAATTGATTCATTAATTGATTCATTAATTGATCAGTTGATAAAGTAGATATGATTAATTGATAGGTAAGATTGCTAGAGATTTGATTGATTAATTGATTGATTAGTAAGGATGGATAAAAGAGTCCCCACCTTTTGCTTTCAGTCGGGGGGGATTCGGTTAGAAGTGCAACACCTCGTGCTCTGGCAGTCGATGTCTCTTGAATGACATCAACTAATTTACCCAACACAGCATGCTCCGCCGTTAATCAAGGGAGTGTGACGGGATGTGTTCACACTAGGGTTTTCCGGGATACATCTGGTCGCACTTCCAGCTGAATTCGATCCAGAAAACCCTAATCACTGGCTTCGTTCGCTACGAGGTTCACCATGTTAAACCTCTCCTCTCCTCCCCCTCCCCTCCCCTACCGTCCAAACATAATCAAGGGAGTGTGAAGGGATGCGTTCACACTAGGATTTTCCGGGATGAAATCTCTGACCGCACTTCCAGCAAAATTCAATCCAGAAAACCCTAATCACTGGCTTCATTGGCTGCGAGGTTCAGCCTGTTAAACCTCTTCCTTTCCCTCCTCCCCTACTGGTCAAGCACAACGCTTTGACCGGACTAGGACAGACAAGGAGAAAACTGATGGACACACTACATTAATCGTCTCAACGAGCGGAATCGCGCACACCGCGCAATCACGAGCTATATTCCCGCGAGGTACAGAAACCCTACAAAAGAATAGAGGACTGTATTTTTGCGTCATCGACCGCCACTACGAGCTATATTTCACTTCCCGCGCACAACGCGCCATTACAACTGCGTCAGATAGCAGCAATCAATCAACGAGCGGAATCGCGCACACCACGCAATCACAACGACACATCAGCAATCAATAAACCACCACCCCCTTCCGGCCCTTTCGGCATTTTTTGAACCGACATCGTCAGGGTTTACCGGGTTCTCTCGTCTGAAAAGACCTGACGATTTCGGTTCAGAAAACGCCGAAATTGTGGCCAGGAACGTCGAAGTTAAATGCCCAAAGGGGTAAAATAACCGAAGGAAAAGTCCAGGAAGAGAAACCCTAAAGAAAACATACTACGTGGCTGCTTTCATCAATAAGCCATAATTTTCCCGCGCAAACTGCGCCATCAAGACGGCCTCCGCGATCGCCGCCGTGCACTGTTGTCCCGCGCGCACACCACGCATTAGAAAGGCGCAACCGATCGGTGGCTGTGCATTGCATCATTCAGATGGCGCGCTGGTGTGCATCCTGATTCCCCCGCAAACCGCGCTGGTGTGCATCTTGATTACCGCGCAAACCGCGCTGGTGTGCATCTTGCTTCCCGCGCAAGCCGCGCTGGTGCGCATCTTGATTCCCGCGGAAAACGCGCTGGTGTGCATCTTGCTTCCCGCGCAAAACGCGCTGGTGTGCATCTTGATCCCGCGCAAACCGCGCTGGTGTGCATCTTGATTCCCGCGCAAACCGCGTTGGTGTGCATCTTCATTCCCGCGCAAACCGCGCTGGTGTGCATCTTGATTCCCGCGCAAACCGCGCTGGTGTGCATCTTGATTTTCCCGCGCAAACCGCGCTGTGCACTTCGATGACGTGGATATCGCGCGAAAACAGTCCGTCATCAGTCCCGCTCTCGTTAGCGGTTGATCGCTGATGAGGCGAGTCCATCAAGGTATATATCCTGAGGATAGTAGGGGACTAAGCCCGAAGGGCCGCCTCCTCTTCAATCTCTCCTCCGTGTGGCATATGCAAAAAAGCTTGGTAGTCCAAAGTGGACTAGTTTGAGAATCCACTGAGAATCCATTTATCTCGGATTATTCACCGGATGATTTTATACAGAGTTCCATGATTTACGGCTTCACGGATTGCGCACTGTTGAGCGGGAAGATAGCAGGGGGTCATGACACAAACATACAACTCTCTTTCAGAGAGAGGGTTACTTCCCCCATCTTTCCCCGAAAAGAAAAGAAAGTACGGTCATTATAGCTGGTGCATTTGGGCAACTTCCTGTCGAGATACACGAATAATTACCGTACGTTCTATTCGGAGAAAGACGGGTAATGTGGTGTGCCCCATCACTCGTCATCATCATTCTCTCATCCGGCCAACCAATCTTTGAAGGGAGGGAGAGAGGGGGGGCATACTCGCACACGTCAAAGAGATATCCGCACGTTAGACTACATACCCCCACTAGGCCACAAGCCACAGTTATTGTTCAGTTGTTGGGCGACATGTGCGACATGCAAGTCCAATCCAGAACAGGCATACATAGATAGAATCAGTGCACATACGCTTAGGGTAAATTGATTATACGCGCATCAAGGTGATCGAGACATGCGCGGCAGTTACATTCACGACGTGGACTAATTAATACACATTACTTCGTAATTCATTATTAACCAATCCATCCAACCAACAATAGATTGATGATCACTCGACCTATATATCCTGACGTCAACGGTTTCGATTACAGAAAACGGTAAACTCTTGTCAAGACGTTCAGATCAGGCATTCGGTCCACAAATGAAGCAAGGGAAGTAACAAAAAAAAACAATAATTCCGAATTTGTCACGTATATTTCTTAAAACAACCTCTCATATGACTAATTCGTTCAAGTTTCTATTACAGTAGTAATTAGTATCAGTAGTAGTAATTAGTAATTACAATAGTAGTAATTAGTAATTACAGTAGTATTGAACAATACACGTACATATTGGATCCATTTTTTTCACTTTTTTTTTATATCATCATTGATTGATTGAAGGTGACCCGCCCCAGGTAAATCAGAATTACTGTATGTTATTCTGGGCATCTGATTATATCCTGATACGAACTGGAGTCTGTAATTCAAGAGTTCGTGCGTGTCACACACCAACTGAGCTAGGCTCGTTGAGTAATGATTTCTTTCCATAACTTATCAGACACCTCTTTTATATATTACTAGTATCAATATATTCCAGAGTAATATTTAAACCCCTCAGGGAGAATGTACGTGAGAGTTGTTGTTATGGAGAGGAAAGTGAACGGATTTCACCAGACACCTCAGCACGGGACATCGCTCCATGTGCGGCCGCAGCACCAACAGCACTTGGACCACCACTACCACCACCAGAAGTCGGGACCGACGATCGGGGCTCCATATCCTTCTCCCTCCCTCTCCTATGACCAGCATCAAGGTCTCTATCTGCACCCCTCTTCGATGATGGCGAAACCCCACGACGCGACGGCGGCGGAGAACCTCCTCCTCCTCTCCGGCCTCGAGGGTGCCCTTCCTCCTCCGTCAGGCTATGATGATGTCTACCCTCCGCTCCGTTCCGCGGCGGGGAATCGTCACCGTCCCCTCGATGATGATGATGATGGTGATGATGATGTCGATGGGCCTGGCGCTGGGAAGATGACCGTTGCAAGGCCGCCGCCGGGGGAGGAGATGGCGATGGCGATGGAGATGGCGACGATGTCCGACGACGTCGTGTGCGGCGCGGTGGCGACAAGGAGGTCGCCCGTACCGCCACCGTTTCCTTTGCTTTCCTCAGCCTCTTCGAGCGCGGCGATGGGGATCTCCCATGCGGACTGGATTTCCGCCGCACGATCGGCGACTCGGATCGGGATCGGGACCGTGATCTCGATCGCGAACGAGATAGCGATCGCGATCGGCCTCTTGACCGCGCCGGCGATCGCCTGTGGTGTGGCGGCGAGAGAGCCATCATCCCCCCGCTCCCTCCCTACCTTTCGATTCGACAGCGTCTCACCTCCTCTCCTGTCGTGGTGCGCCAGGTCAGTCGACTACCACCCTCACAGGACAGCCTCCTCCTCCTCCTCCCCACTTGTGCGCGCGCGCACCTTTCACCCCATCAACGATCATTCAATCCATTCAGTGGGACATTCTGCCCCTACTTCCACAGTGTCATCACCACTACTGGGAGATGAGCGAGTCTCTCCTTCCCCACCTCCCCCCACCCCCCACCACCACCTAATACCGAAGTCGTTTCAGCACAGCTTCACGACGAACATTGCTGTCGAGCGTTTTGCAACGTCGTGTTGCCCCCGTGCTGCCTTCTCCACGTACCCTTGATCTCCTCTCGATTTTAAGTGACCATCCATTCAAATTCGACCATGCGTCACCACCATCAGCTCGGCCAAGCCTTTCCATTAGATGCTTCCAACCCCTACCTCGATTACCATCCAATCCCAGTCGCGATGGCGATGATAGCCTTTTATATTTGATACCCGTTTAGCCCACGTGTTGACGTCAGTGCTCCCTGTGCCGCCAAGAGTCGCGATGCACAGATTGGAGCGTGCGGAGTGGATGGATGATGAATTGAGCGTACTATGGTACAGAACAGAAAAGAAAAGAATAGCCTGCCTCGTGCACGCCAGGCTGAAGTCGCCCCGCCTTCCCAGCCTTGCTTGCCTGCCACCTGCCGACGGCCAAGCCGTCGTCTTCGCATCTCGCGGCCCTTCTGTGCAGCCACCGAAGCCTCTCCCAGTCCCGCACTAGTTTTTCACCTACCAGATTCAAACTCTGGTTAGGAGGTCCAGAGGGTGGTCCGGTCCCCGAACCCGGCGTCGCGGTGCAGGCCTCTGTGGCTCTTGGGTACCACGTCCCAGTTCTCAGATTTACGGCGGCGTTTTAGTGTGGTGTAGTTTTTGGGGCCAGGTCCCACTACAGCGTTGAGTTTCCCCAACGCATGAATCTGGAAGTGATTGAGGAAATGTGTGCGAAAATGGCGTTGAGAATCCTCGACCGCACATCTCCGCAAATAGATCCAGATTCAGGCCGCTAGTGGTATGGGACTTGGCCCTTAGTGCGGTGCCACGTGGGTTCCAAGGTCGGCCCCTTTTTTCGTGCGGGGGACTCGTGGGAGAGAGAGAGAGAGAGAGAGAGAGAGAGAGAGAGAGAGACG